CCACTTTCTCTTTGTTCAATGAGAAGAAAGTTTTGAACTAATAGTGTTTAGACAAGATATTATGTCTGCATCCTATGCTATGAATAACTACTACAAAGACAACAATATACAATTATGACTGCCTTATTAACCTGTTTTGAAAGTATCTCATTGCTACTTCTTTCTCAATAATATTAATATGTATATATAAAAAAGAAGAATGAAAAATTATACTATTCTTTTTATTGCAAATTTTAAATTTTAGTTTGTTTCAGATGCTTGATACAAACTCAAAATCACATAATTAATATAAAAGCGAATACAGGTGCTTTACACTTGGACAAAATCCTACTGTAATATGTATGTTTAAATCAAATTACAAGAAAACCCCAAAATCAAAACAAAAACTCAAATTACCTATTTCTACAGCATTAAAAAACTAAAAAGTACATAGGAAAATATAATAGTTTCAAAGTTTTCTTTTCAAATATATGGCTTCAAAGGGAGGTTATTTGTTTGCATCACTTTAAAAATCCAGATACAAAGCAGCCAACAGATTTATATTAATTATAAGAAAAATATAATATTCTTTATAAAAAAGCCAGCATCAGAAAAAAAAAAAAAGAGCCTAAATGCAACCCCCTATGCTCATCACTGTGCCAGGCACTGGCATAGAACAGTGACCACCTTCTAATGATGCTGACCTCAAGGGGGACACCATGCCAAATGCATTGAACATGTTGCTAAATTTAAACAGTGATCATAAATTTAATTACCATGACATTAAATAAGACCTTACCATATCTTAGATGCTGTGGTTAGAGCTTCAAATGTGGTTCCCTAGTAGGTATACAGATGAAAATCTCTTTAGAAAATAGAGACAAATCAATGGTTTTTGAAGGATCCATCTCTTCCTTCCTCTGCACCTGCAGGACAGCCTTTCAACCCTCACTTCAAGATCAACAATGCGGTTTCCAATATAATTTGCTCTATCATCTTTGGGGAGCGCTTCGACTACCAGGACAGTCAGTTTCAGGAGCTGCTGAGCTTACTGGATGAGGTTACTCACTTGGAATCGGCGCCTCTGTGCCAAGTAAGCATGTCCCTTCCTGCATCTTGTGCAGGAGTATAGGGCTGGTGTTGGGCTTGCATGGCCTCTTCCTTTAGGTTTTCTTCCCATTTGGGCCAACAGTACAACAATTTAACATTGAATTGAACAAAAAAAAAAAAAAAACTTAAAATCAATCTATTGGATTTAGTTATTTTTTTTCTTTCTTTCATTTTTTTTGCATTGGTCATTGAACCCAGGCACATTAGGCAAGCAATTTTGGTAAAGCACAACTAGGATTTGTTTATTTTTTGGCAGAACTAGGGATTGCACTCAGGCCCTTGTGCTTGCCAGGGAAGCGCTTGTTCCACTGAGCCATCTCCCCAGCCTTAGGCAAGCAATTTAACAACTATGCTACACTCCCATCCCAAATTTAGAATTTTCTTTCTTTCTTTCTCTTTCTTTCTTTTTTTGTTTATTTCCTCCTTTTTTTCAGACAGGATCTTGCTGCGTACTCTAGGCTGACTGTGAACTCAATGGATAGGTCAGGTTGACCTTGAACTTCCAATGATTGTCTTGCCTCAGTCTCCTGAGTACTGGATTTACAGTTGTGACCACCATGTCTAGTCAGCATTTTTAATTGTTAAATACTTACTATATACAAAAATAATTCAATGATTCATGTCAACTACAGAATTTTACAAGACCTGAATCTATACTGGTCTTTTTAACAAACAACTCTATTGCCCTTGTAGTATTGGAACTTTGAGTCTAAGTTCCACCATACATGATCTTATCATTTCTCCCTCAGAGACATTTTTTTTTTTCTATGAGCAGTTTCACATTCAGCAGGTGTTTGTGAGATTCATCTATATTTTCTATACAAAATAACATTCTACTGTATGAATGTACAAGCATTTTTCTCCTGGAGCTTCATGACCCATTAAAGAACACTTGTTGCTAGATTAGGATGTCCCCTGGAAAATGGAAAGGGCAAAATAAATGTGAACCATCTTAATTATTGTCACAGTTGCTTTGTGTTCCTTGTTCTCGCTCCTAGTCATGGAAGTCCCCAGTCCAGCAGTTCCATTTGTTTTTCTCCTATTAAGAGAGAGCTAGAAGGGCCAGCCAAATAGCTCAGCAGATTAAATAGCCTGCAAGCAGGTTCAGGGGCTGGGTGTTCCATCTCTGGGTCTGCCAGCCCCGCCCCCAGGGAGTGCTGAGACTGCGATTGGGACTGGGCTTGGAGGCACGCACCTGTAATCCCAGCACATGGGAGGCTATAAACAGGAGAATCACTGAATCCGATGTAGTAGTGAGACCCTGAACACACTATAGACCCTTTCCTAAAAATACAACAAAAAATGATGAGAGAGAGAGAGAGAGAGAGAGAGAGAGAGAGAGAGAGAGAACATCAAGAGAATTTAGTGAGTACTTAGAGAAGAAGAAATCCTTGGGAAGGAAATAAAAGGAGTGTAGAGATACAGTTTTGAGACAAAAGCCTGATGTCCCAAGAGAGTAGGGAACACTGGACCGAGCCCGAGGAGGATTGCTGTCTGTTTCCAAATTCCAGGTAAGCTGGGACCCAAGGCAGCAGATAACAGCTTCTCCTGCAGGTGCTCTGTCCTTTGATCCCTTGCTTGGGATGTTATCGGCTACCATTTGTGTGAACCTAGTGTTAGGCAAATGGTGGAAGTCAGTAGAGATAGTAGTTTGTATTCACTTAGGTAATTATGCACATTCCTTAGTCTGCCTTTACCCCTCAATAAATGTGAGATGGTTCTGAGGCTCTGGGCTCACTTGGAGAGAGACTAATCTCAGTGAGACCTCTGAAGCTACATTCATCAGGTCTTCTCATCATTTCTTTTGGCACTGACTCGTAACTTACAACAAAGGAGTGATAGGGTAGGGCTAACAAACATTTCTTGGAGTGCCCATGTATACCAGACATTTTGGTGGGCAGTTGCACACACTTTATCTCTGGCAATTTTCACAACAATCCCATAAAAATGAAATGGAGAAACATGTATGAAAGCTGATGTGAATGTGGAAGCAAGTAAGACCACAGTCTTCCATTCTTGTGTTATGTACCATATGTATCCCTGTCAATCAGTCTAGGACCTCACCCAGGATGCACCCCTTAACTAGAAGCTAGTTAAATAAAAGATCTAAAAGTAAATTATTAGGGCTGGCCAGATAGCTCAGCAGACTAAAGCACCTGTTTAGACAGAATGTAGCAACTGGGTTAAATCCCCAGCCCCAGCGTGCCTTGCCGGCCCTGCCCCTGGACAACCTGAGACTGCGAATGAGACTGAGTGTGGTGGCCCATGCCTGTAATCCCAGAACTTGGGAAGTTGAAAACAGGAGAATCACTATGAGTCAGATCTGTGTAGTGAAACCCTGTACTAAATACATAAAAAAGTAAATTACTATGATTATAACTATTATCAATCTATTATAACTGAAGTGTAGCCAAATAGTTACAGCCATGACTGTCTCATTTTGAGTCCAGATGTTTGTATTATATTCTCCTGTACTCTTCCCAGGGTATGTTCCTCTCACCAGCAATTTATTTCTATATAAAATACCAAGCCACACCTGAGTGCATACTGTATCATACTAGTCGAGACCACCATATACAGTCATCTGTGCAAGAATATGTGCACTCAATTAGCAATATTTCCATGAAGGAAAATAAGTGAAAAGGGAATAAAGGTTGGAAAGACACACTGGATCCTCAGGAAAGGGCTCCAGGGAAGGAACACTGGAGGAGCGCCTACGTGAGGTGAAGAGCTGGGGCAATACAGATTTCATAGGAAGAGCTTTCTAGTCAGAGAGAAAAGCAACTCACAGCCTTAATGAACAATGTCTTTGATGTGACCAGGGTGGCCTCTGTGATTGGGATAGTGGGGAGAGACAGAAAGTAAACCAGCAGTCTGTAGGGCTTATAGGCCCAAGGAATGACTTTGGTCTTAAATGTAATGTAAAGCAACTAGACAGTTGAGAGCTAAGGCATAAAATCATGTGGTCAAAATGATGAATAATCCTCTGGCAGTTATACAGAACAATAACCTGGGAACTGGTTGAAAGGAATCAGGAAACCATTAAAACAATGCCCATATCCAGGTAGGGGGAGGTGGTGCTTTGCAGTAGTGTGGCAAGCATGTGTGTGGTGGAGATAGGTGGTCTGAGGCTGAGTGTAGTTGGATGGTGTATTGGAATTCCTATAATAGAGATGAGAGAGCAAAGATATGTCCAAGGTGACTCTGAAGTGTAAGCATGAGCAAAGAAAAGAGATGAAAGGAGAAGACTATCACAAAAAGTGCAAAAACAGCACTATGTTGTCTCAACAATTATTTTGTTTCTCTTGATTAGCTCTACACTCTCTTTCCACGGATAATGAAATACCTTCCTGGACCTCATCACACTCTCTTCAGGGACTGGGACAAACTAAAATTGTTTGTTGCTCAAGTGATTGAAAACCACAAGAAAGACTGGAATCCTGATGAGATGAGAGACTTTATTGATGCTTACCTCAAGGAAATGGTATGAATGAGAAAAACAAAGTTATTTTCTGTGCATTTTTTTAGAGAACATATATCAGTATGCTAGTTTCAAATTGCAGTTATGATAAGTGTCTGCAAAGTCAGGAATAAAATAACACAGTACTCTGTTACATTTCAACATGACAAAAATCTAAGATCGGGGGAAAGTCAAGGTGTTGGCCAGTCCAACTTCTTTTAGAGTTTTGAAGAATCCACTTCCATGACTCTTCCACCTTGTAGATGCCAACTGCATTCCTGTCTTGTTGTGCCCTTCTTGATCTTCAGTACCATGAGTGTTGCATCTTCTCTGCTCTTTGATCTTGACTTTCATCTGTACACCTTCTCTCTTAGTTTGACACTCTTGTCTCTTTCTTATAAGCATTTTTAGGATAATCATTCTACCTCAAAATTCTTACTCACATATGCAAAGTCCTCTTCAACATACAGATTAACACACAAAAGATTGAGATAAGGACACCCTTGCAGATCATTATTTAACCCATCATGAGGAGTGAAAAAGAGAGGCAGTGTATCATGTGTAGGTTATTATTAACTCAAGAATGCTGGGACAATCAGAAATAAAAATAAGTGTCTGATGACATTTGGTTTAAGGCCTTGAGGCTGTCCAAACATACTACCTTTTCATCCCTCATTCCAGTGGTGGCAAACGTAGCTGTGCGTGCTGTAGCAGATTGTTTGCTATCATTTAAAGCTCTAAAAGGTTGCCAGCACTGCAGTTCTCTTTCCCTACCCATATTGGGAAGGGTTGCACACAAATAGCAAGTAAGCTTCAGAAATTCATTTTCTGATTGCTCAGGACTGAGCCTAGCTAGCTTCATCTTCTCTCAGCTGTCCCCACCCCCACTCCAATCAGTACAAAGCTACACCTGAATTGGATTCCAGAATTTAATGTAAAGGTCTGAAAGAGAATTCTCACCTCTTATACTCAATATTGTGCATTTTCAAACATTATAGGTGAAAAGCAATAAAAAGCCAAACTGAATACATGGCCTTGAACACAGTGACCCATGGCTAGTACATGTCAGTAAATCGATATCATAAACCTTGACTCCTCAATGATGGATTTCTCCTGGAGTGGGTAGAATGTGAATTTGCTTGCATTTTTCCTCTTACTTCACCATACTGACATAATATTTAGACAAAGCTGTTCTTCTTAGAGGAGGAATCTTTACCTACCATGTGATATGAATCTGTGGGACCATCGACGTTATGAAAAATTGAATCCTTCACAGGAAGGGGAAAAGATGATAGAAAAATGTATGGAATTATGGAAGAAGTGAAAAAGATTTAAACTGGAAAAGACTAACATGGAATTAGGTGCATATTAATACATAGAACTCAGTATTTTTTGTGCTATCAACACAAACATTTATTTGCTACAGTTCTTTTGTAGCTCACAAAATTCATACTGTATTTGTACAGCATGCATAGTATGTCCATTTCATAAAGCAGATACATCAAATAAGTGATATAGCTAATGCAGAAGTTCTGCCTGTCTTATTCGCATCTCATTTTTTCACCACTGTATTCGTGTTGTGGCAAAACTGAGTCCATGGAAGGAGCAACCCTTGAGGAAGTCAGGAGGCAGTGAGCAGCTTTATTTTACACTTTTGGTCCTGGCTGGCATGACTTCCAACAAAAGCTAGGTGGTGAGTGGCCATAAGCCAGCAGTCTTATATGAGGCACAAACAGGTGTTACAGAGGTGGGACAGGACAACCTGGAAGTTCTTCTGATTGGCTATCAGTGAAAGATCATCAGTTATGGGGCTAGATTAATGACCCTCAGTTGCAAGACTAGATTACTGACCACAAAGCCTAGTACAATCAAGTGTCCTCAATGTTCCATTACATGATCATGGTTACAAGAGTCAAGAAAGCAATTGGAGAGCCTTGAAACAGTTACAGATTAGACAGCTACAAACAGAACAAAGTTTTAGAAAGAACAATTTTTCTTTGTACAGCTTTTCCCTTTTATACCTAATCTGAAAAATTATAAGTGTAAGTAAATAATTGTCTTTTCTATTTTGTATTAGCATGTCCCTTTGTGGGAAGTTCATATATGTATGTAATGCATCTTGATACCTTTCTCAATCTCCATGCCTCTCCTCCCTCTCCCCTCCCTCCATCCAGTGATCACCTACCTATTTGAGAACTCTCTCTCTCTCTCTCTCTCTCTCTCTCTCTCTCTCTCTCTCTCTCTCTCTCGTATTTTAGGGAAGGGTCTACTAGGTGTTCAGTGTCTCACTACCAGATCAGACTCATGGTGATCCACTGTTTACAGCCTCCCAAGAGCTGGGATTACAGGCACATGCCACCACACCCTGTCTCAATCTCTTTTTTATTTGCTCAAAGTTTACATTTTGGGTTTCTCATATAAGAAAAAACTTCCCATACTTAAATTTTATGTTTCATTTAATTCACTGAACATTATGGGCTTGAGATGCATCCATTTTCCTCTTAGTGAATAAAGTTCATCTTTTTTGATAGCAGAGCACTACACCATTCTCAGTATATACCACATGTTGTTTATCCATTCATCTGTTGATAAGCTCCTTCCAAGAACTAGCTACTATAAATTGTGCTGCTATGACCAAGGGTATGCATGGATCACTGTAATATGATGTCTTTGACTCGCTGGGGAAAATATATAGGAGAATAGCTGGCTCAAGTGGAATTTCTGTCTTTAGGTTTGTGAGGCATCTCCACATTTATTTTCAGAGTGGTTATGCTAGTTTCTACTCCTGTCAACAGTGTAAAGAGATTCTTTTCACTATAGTGTCATCAATGCTCGTTACTATTTGATTTTTTTTTACAATGGACATTCTTTCAGGGGTAAGATGGAATCTTTGGGTTGCTTTTCTTTGCAATCTTCTGATGACCAGCAAGTTTCAGTATTTTTTTCATGTATTTATTGGTCCTTTGTGGTTCTTTTGTGAGGATACAATTCATTTTGCTTACCTATTTTTGGTTAGGTCTTTTATTATGAAGCCTCTCAGTTTTATGAATTCTGTTTATATTGGAGGTATTAGCCTTTGTAGGGATCCATTGATCTTACTGCAAACAGTTCTACCCAGGGAGACATGGCAGCAGGAATGAGAAAGATAGACAAAAAGAAAAAAGCTGGACTAGGTGGTCACTAGTCCACCTGATGGGCAAGACTAACTCTAATGCATGACAAAACTATCCTTTATTTATACTTTTGCAAAGTTAGTAACACATGCCACAAGGTTGCCTGGTGATTAATAGCTGACTTGAACCAGACAGCATGTTTTTCTCAGGACTGAGGGAGCTTGTTTGCTTTAGGCACTGAGGCCCAACCACACCCACATACATTTGACCAATTTCCTACCTTCCTGCAGCTCCCAGCATATCCCCCATTTTGTGTTATTTTGTCAGAGATGAGTGTTCCATTGCAGTTAGAAAAGCTGTACGGAGAAGTCTGTAAAGGACCTTTTTATACTTGATGCCAATTTAAAGATTGTAGGTACTTGAGTTCAACAATATAACCCTATATAGTCCAATAGTCCATAATAGTAGTAAATTATTAACACAGCTAGTAATTGTCAGAAGTTATTGACTTGAGGCTTTTACAGTTTAGCATGTTAATATGGCATTACTTTTTACACATCATGGTTACATTTTTTTTCTTTCTTTTTTTTAACAAAAAAACTGTCCTTTATTTACACATTTGTGAAGTTAGTAACACATGCCACAAGGTTGCCTGGTGATTAATAGCTGACTTGAACCAGACAGGCTGTTTATCTCAGGAGTGAGGTAGCCTGTTTGCTTTAGGCACTGGGCCACATCCCACCTACATATTTGATCAATTTCCTAGCTTCATGGCTCCCAACATATCCCCCTTTTTCATTGTTTTTTCAGAGATGGGGGTTCCATTGCTGTTAGAGAAGCTATATTTGGAGAAGTCTTTAAAGGATCTAATCAAACTTGAAACCAGTTTAAAGATTGTACTACTTGAATTCAGAAAAATAACCCAATATGGTCCAATAGTCCATATTAGTAGTGAGTTCTCAGCACAACTGACAAATGGCCGAAGTTGTTGACTTGAGCCTTTTATAGCTCAGCATATTAATTTAGCTTTACTTTTCATATCTCATAGTTATAATTTTCTGCTGAATGGTTTAGACCAATTTAAAGCAAGACCCATATAGCTAAAAGTGTAACTTTGGTATCTGACAAGGTTGGTCAAATCCCCTCAGGATTTACACTGTAACCATGTACAGCCCCTTGTAGATCTTTTGTCAGTTTCAGCTTTCTGGATGAGTCATGGCAATTGCTTGACCAATTCGCTCTCTGTGAAAGCCTGAGATAATTTTTTCTTTGTAGGTGACTCTCGTTTGGTACACTATAAATAGTCAAAAACTTTCCGCTATGGCCTATAATCTCCTTCATAAGGAAGTTTGGGGCACTACTGAGTTATAGGCTGTCACAGTACAGGTTCTTTTATGTCCAGAGTCCTCACAGACCTTGAAGTGCTAGGGCCAAAATATTGGCTATCCTTGTAGCCCCTCTATTTCCCTAATTTTTGGTCTGCAAACTTTAGTTGTTAACCATCCAGAAGAGATGATTAATGATATTATTACCCTGTAAAAGAGGTAGTTGAGCTTAACATCACCATCTGTCTGAATATCAAATGCCAAGACATAACGTGGAACTGCTATTTTCCAGCAACTATGGATATTCTAAAATTTAAATCCCTCCAGAATGTGACAAAAGCAATTACACATTGTTACACAGAATTTTAAAAATCAAACCATATACAACATTGTAGCAAGACAATTCTATGACACTTTTTTGTGTCTATTGTTTTCTTTTATTGCCTTTTTAAAAAAATTACTTTAAGGGGCAGGGAAGATAGCTCAGTAGAATGAGCACTTGCCTGGCAAGCACAAGTGCCTGAGTTTAATCCCTTGTTCCACAAAAACAACAACAAAAAATTACTTTAAAAAATGTAGAGCAATA